TAGATACAGAAAGTAAAAGCAACAGCAAACTTTAAATAAAATAAAAAAAGGAAGAGAGAAAACCAGCGGATAATAAACAACACTTTAGTAGGAAAAGTCCTAGTTAACCTAAAGAAAAACTTCTTAAATAGTTGTTAACATGTGATTCAGGAAACACTTTTCTGTATAGATTTCTTACTTAAAGGAACACTTAAACATACCCAATTATTACTGAAGAAGAGCTGTCACCTAGACAGTGGTCTATTGAGATCTGTAGATTTACCCTTTGAAGAAGTGCTTGTGATTGCTAAAGTAGTAATTCATAAAATCTATAAAACTAACCTTGCAAGGAAGTACCAGGAATACCAAGAAAAGTTTTATCTGAAGAAGCATGAAATCCAGAGTCCTGAAAATAAAGCATCAACAGATTACATCGATGGAAAAACTCACGTATTATTTTACAGCTTGCCACAGATGAAATGACTGGGAACCTGGAAATAAGGGCCTATTTAATATTTAAATCAACAAGTGTAACGATTCCGGTGGAACCTAGTAAAGCCTATTTTGTTTGTCTCACCTTGTCCATCTACAACATGAATAAAACGTCATCATTTCAGGACACCACCTTAATTAACAGGGTCACTGTCTGAGATTATTTTAACCAGTGACACAGTCTATTAAAATGTAACAAAATCTTTTATTGAGCATAACCATTTTCAAGGTTATTAAATATAGTGAACTTCCTCACATGATCCAGGAGACCTGATACAACGTATATATTTTAGCAAATAAAAATCCCCGAAACCCCAAACCTGTAAAACAACCCTACTGACCAAATAGCGCCAGAAGTATGCTGTCGCTAGTTTAAACAGCTTCCAGCTCTAACCCATTTTTTAAGCCCTTCTTCAAATATCAGCAAAGAGCGCACAATCATTTTTTTTTTACAAAGTCCTTAAGTACCTGACTCTGACAGTTGTGACTGTCAAAAAAGCTGGGGTTACTGCCATTGTATGTGCTCAAAAAATCCATGCCAACTGTCTGAAGATTAACATTTCTTCTGTGAGAAATCTGTTGACATTTTGTTGAAGGAAAATAACGTTCTGGTATATTTTTCAGTCGCTTCACTGGTGAAAAAAGAAGATCGTTTTGAAAATTTCCTAGTCTTTTAACTCTGGGAATTGCAGATAAAGTTCGAACAGGTGAGTTAACAAGAGCATTTACAGTTTCAGACATCTGTATTCCTTCGTATTTCCTTAAATTTGAAGCTCTCTGAAACCCAGGAAGTTTTGGAACAGCCTCACTACACAATTGCTCATAGATCCTGTCAAATTCTCTATCATACTGTGTATCAGACCTCACAGAATCACTTAAATTACTCTTCGCTAATCTTTCTTTCTCTTCAAGGTTCTGTGAATTTGAAAGAGGTCTTGTCAAAGTCAAAGGCTTTTGGATTTCTTTGGAACGCAGTTTGTAGTAGAGTTTTTCAAATGCATCTTCATATTTCTGGGGCATTTTTGAAGGACTCTGCTTCATAGAGAACGAGGAAAATGAGTGTTTGCGCTGGAAAGAAATTAGTCTTTCAGAAATTATTTTTTCAGGATTTATGAGCAAAGTATTTGATGCTCCTGCAAGAGAACAACAGTTTGTGACAGGTGTAAAAGTGTTACTATTGCCATAGGAACTGCAAGCAGATGAACACAACTCTGAGGTATCACCACAAGGAAAGCCAGTTTTTTCAGTTTTACTCTCTTTTACCAGATGAAGCGCTGTTGACCCTGAGCTAGCAGTAGATGTTATAAAACGGTACTTGGAGGAACATTTGTAAGCCAACTTCTCACTTTCTTTGCATTTCGAATTCTTCAGTGAGACAGTAGTCTGTAACTCATCTTCAACTAGAAATGTCTCTCCCATTCTAGCCATAACATTAGGAAAAACAGTCTGCTTGGAGACTTTTTGGCCTTTTCCAGATACCAAATGATGTTCTAAACTTGAGTCAGAGTAGTCCATTTTGATTTCATTTGTATCAATGTAAGAATAAGGTGCCAGACCAGATAAATTATTAATGGAACACTTGTCATCACAAAGTTCTCTGTTCTCATTTCCAAAAGTTTGATTCTGGATGTCTTCACTTCTACTGCTGCATATGCTGGGTAGTGCTTGCTTCAGTTTAAGAGGTCCGAACCCTCTTATTTTGTCTACAGTGACATTGAGCTTTGGTCTTCTAGAACGCCATCTTTTATGCCTTAAGTGTCCAAACATGTATTTTAACTCTTTTCTCCGAGACTGCTTTGTCATGAGCCTTGTAAGTATCTCTACCATCGCTGGATACAAGTCTGCAAGAGTTACATTGCTCCAGGAGCATTCCTCATCTGCAGACTGGTATTCTTCCAAGATACCATCATAGCAAGTTTTATTCAGTTCTGGAGAAAGTCGATGCCTGGGTATGGTTATTCTAATTGGTGAAATGGGAACACCAGAAAATTGTAACTGTAGAGGTCTGGATGAAGAACGTTCATTTGACAGCTCTACTTTGTTTCTGCAAACAGCGGCTTGGTTGCCTATTCAAAAAAACCAAATGAATCACAAAACAAAACCAGAAGAAGAAAAAAACCCCCAAACCTATTAGGGCACTTCCAGTAATGTATTACATGACTTAGAAACAATCGCATGCAGTACAGATAGCCTTACTGTAATAGCATATTTCATTAAGCTTTTTTGCCAGGCTAAATGGATGATTAACATACAATCCATTAGGAAAAAATTAAAAGATTTTTCCTAACCATATTGAATTAGCAGACTATAGAAGACAAATGAAATGTGCTGGGAAAAAAACCTATTTTAAAATAGCTTAATATATAGATATAAAATATTTTCATTCTAGAGGCAGACTGCTTTGCTCTTTGTGATTTCTGACCAGGAGGAACAGCCTTATCCTACAGGTTTTGTTACTCTATTTCCATATCACTTGAAAGCTTTGTACTTGGCTAGTACCAGTGCAGCTTTGCTTGCCGTAAAGCACAATGAAGATAATGCTTTTTGTAGTTGTTACGCTTGAAATATTTACACCAAAATTCTATCTTAGGTTTGCATCAAGTCTGGAGAGCTTAATGAAGAAAGTAAGTTTACTCGCAAAGTACCACTTTGAGTACCGGTTACCAGCAGACCCAAAGCCATTCATTACTTTCCTTGAATTTAAAATAAGCTGAACCAAAAAAATTATGCTTTCATTTAATTGAGCTTAGTGCTGCTGAATTTTGTAACTATGCATTTTTTTCCTGGGGCTATTTAAGAAAAACTGTTTTTATGTATACAAGTTATTTATTTTCTATTTTTCAAATACATTTTGCCATAAGCAAAATCACGTCCAACTTCTCTTCAAGAATCCAGCCTGTTGAACTTTTCTGTTGGATAAACAGTGCCTCTGTGTTTTCAACAAATTAAATATTATTTCTAATAAATTTTAATAAAAATGAATTTTGTAACTAACATATTTGACCAACACCCCAAAGATTTAGTTGTACCAATCAGTTCTTGCACTGGCGAAGCTAAATGAAGACCTTCTGATGAACCTTGAGGTGCTATCTGAAAAACAAACAAACACACACCTTTACAACTTCTACATTATGTAACATATTTTAATTCCTTTCCCAAATATGAGAATTTATACATGGATATATATACACCTGGATAATCTATACATCTCTGGCAACTCCAGTAGGAAACAGAAGCTGTACCATGTAACATAACCCTTCACCCCCAATCCCCCTCACTCCCAAAACCAAAATAAAGCTAAAACTCCTTTTTACTCTACAAAACTCAAATTTAGGCTTTTCAGAAAACTTACTGAAGTGAAGATCAACTTGCACATCAGGGTTCAAAGAACAAAGTATAAAAGTAAAAAAAAAAAAAGAAATATTTGGATATCGTCCGTTTCTTACAAATCATTGCTGTCAGAGACCTGAGATACTGTGATATTTACATAGACAGGAAGCAGCGGATGAACAATGATGAAACAGCAGAGGAGAAGTATTAGAATTCATTGTGCTGCACAGTTAGAGAGTTCTTATTTTACTCTAATTAGCTAATAACTTATAACAGAACAGGAGAAATGTTACCGTAATCCACTTGGGAATTTTTCTAGCATAATCTTGTACTATCACATCCACCTGAACTTTTACTTTCTCTTGAATTTTCCCATCATCTACATACAGATTCTTAGAGGGGAAGAAAAAAAAGGAATTAATTAAAACTCATAGAAGTTATTGACACTGACAAACCCAAACATATTACTGAGATTTGTTTCAAACTAGTATTATTCACATGAGGATATCCAACCAGCATAAACTTATTTTTAATGCATACATTTTATGTAAAAAAAAAAAAAAAATCCTGAGAAGGAACTGTATGTGAAGACATATAAAAAGAGATAACTAGCTAGTTTACTGATGCAGGGAAAAGCACACTGTCTCAGAAGACCCACTGATAAAACCAACCAAACAAAAGTCCTAGTGTTAGTTTACAAAGCACTGGTAATTACAGCTGCAAGTCTTCACATGTATTATTAACATCCCATGAATTCACATACAAATTAATGTCTATTCTGTAACACATCTCTATGTAAAATCTAAAAGCATTTGGTGATAAATGACAAAGGTTTTTCATTAGTGAAACTCTCACTTTCTGAAGCAGTTTGTATTAGCTGTTGTCAGAGACATGACAATGCCTAGCACTATGCTAAACAAGTAAGGAAAGTAAATTAAATTTTTGGTAATTCTATTTAAGCAAGCAGAACACAGGATTAGAATGGCTGCACACACAAAGTGTGTGTTGTACTTTTCTTCATCAATGTAACTACTCTGGGTAGTCCTGATACCTGTACTCTAGTTTGGGAAACAACAGCAGAAGATTCCAGTCTGCTTTTATTATGGTAGCCATTATTTCAGGTTTACTATTTGTTTTTTTTTAAATCATGTTACCTGTTTATGCTAGACTCTCAGGTGAATGATCATATTTTTGCAAGTTCTTTCACTTTGTGATTCATCTGGTTATTCTTTTTCCATACCTGTAACAGCCTGTCTCAGGGTTGCCTGTTCTACGCAATACATTGTATGGCTTTCTCCAGTATACTAACAATACCGAGACATAGTATTACTTCATGTTGGTCTTCATGACATTATTTATTGAACCTCTCATTTGCTATGCTTACTAAAAATGTGCGTTAAGACGCAGACTACATAGAGTCTTCTGCTGACAGTGCATCATCTCAGGCACGTGTAAGCTATTCAAATAGTTCAATCATTTCTATTGAACACAAAATTATTCCATTACATTAGACACCAAAAATTTTTACCTGGAAGTGAATGTCTTCGAATTTTCTTCTTACTGAAACTATATCAGCATCACTTTCTTCATCTACGATTTGAAGATAAATACTAAATAAAATCTAGTTGAACTCAAAACCAAAATGGAAATGTTTTTCAACACACACTGTAAAACTTATCGACTAAACTGTTTTCATTTTAGAAAACGGTTTTCTACACTAAAATTTTTTATCTGTATTACATTTCCATTTCAAGTCCAATTGAAAAGCATGGTTTATAGGTTCATAAATGACTTGAGGGAAACAAAGAAGAGTGAAGATAATTGTTTGTAACCAGTCCTTCAAGATTTACGCTAACCATTTCAGAGAGTAAAATATTTTCAAAGCACTGCTCTGTATGATTCCCTATTCATTAATGTATCATTCCCACTTATTTCCCACTACGTTCCTAAATATCCCAACAAAGATAGTAAGGACCTTCTACCATGCTTCCTTTCCTTAGCTTCTTATTGTCAAGACTGCCTTAGAACCACAAAAGTGAGAAATAAGACTGACTTGAGAGTATTAAAAGGCAAGTCCAAATCTTCCAACTAAATTTTTAGGTATTCTATAGGTATTTTTGTGAATGAAGTGCAACAAAACATATTTTTGCTAGATGTCGCCGGACCTTCCAATTCATCATTAGCTAAAGCCTCAGTCTTTCACGATCATAAAACACGTCACTGCATTGTAAGCCCTGATTTCTGAATTTCCCTGGCTGTTATATC